ATATATACGTTTTTCTATAGAGGCTTTTTATATTCTAATCAGTATATATTCTTATCAATATTATTATTTAGAGAATTTTCCTCTTAAGATAAGAAACTCTTCTTGGCTCCTATTTTAGTATAAAATATATTTAAAGTAAGTGAGATATCCTCAAAACAAGAATACAATTTTTTCGGTGTACGTCTAATAAGACTATACAAAATTATGATAGAAAATAAGAACAAGAAACGCACAAAGCGCACAAAAAAGCATCATTTTACGTGGTATAAATAAAATTCGCAGTCACAGGTGACACTTTCACTTCGTCAAGCGGAATTAACTTCTTTTGTCGTTCAACGGAGAATATGATACAAGAGAAAAAAAGAACAGATATCGCATTAATCTTCTTTTTTTTTCTTGGAAAATGTATCGGGAGTAAAAAGATATGAAGAGAAGGCAAAGTTGCGACAATAATAATACGCGTCAGATGATCGAAAAATAAACCGAGTTCTTGCTTGTTAAGTGACGCGTCTTTAATAATACAAACCGAGACTGTATTCCGCGTGTCGAAGACGTCGGGGCCACTGTGCAAGCCCGACACCATAGGGGCTTTACGTCCATTGTGGTAGCGCCGAGAGAATCAAGTAAATTGGCTGAATTGGGGCCCGTCCGTGAACCGCCAGACGTACATGTACGGAGATGCAGATGCGCGATAGATCACGCGTTGCGTAACCACGCAAGAGAGTTCGTCTTCTTCCTCTGATAAATACCCGTATTTTTCGATCGTAAAGCGGAAAAATTATGGGGCGCGTTTAATCGTTTCTCAAGTTCGCTGCAGATTTTTTTAAGCGTAAAAGACGAAGAAAAGAAAAGTAGTCGTATAGTGCATATGTGACGTTTCTTCGATCTTTCTCTTTCTTTTTTAATAACAATTAAATCCTATTGAAGCTCGATAAGTTACTAAACTAAGAAATATATTATATGTGATGCAAATCTAGAGCATCCAATATGAATTTAAGAATTTTAAATATTCAATTCAAAAAACTCGCGCGTAAAAATTTACACGCGAACAAATATATATATGTATATATATATATATATATATACGCAGTTTTCCGCACAACATCCTGCGATCGGCTCGGATGACCGTAAATATGTCTTTATTTTTTTTTTTTTTTGTGTTTTGAAGTTTTTGATACACCGTTTGGAAATTGAGCATTTATTCACTTCGAGATTCGAACGAGAGAACAAAATTAAATTATGTCTCGCGCATAACTCAAGCCGT